TTTGCAAGGTCTCGATCAGTTCCTTCTGAGATTCAACCATGAAATCCTTTTCTTTCAGTATTGCCTTAGTGCATTCTAAGTCTCTGTGTAAGGCAGTCATCCGTTCTTCTGTTTTTTCCTCACAGTTCTGTATTTGTTGCTTTTGGATATCTATGAGTCTGTCCTTTTCTTTTAAGGTCTCTAAGGCTTGCTCCAGTTGGTCATGGACAGTCCTTACCTGCATCTCCATGACTTCTTCAGCTTCCTGGATTTGCTTCTGTTGCGACTCAAGCTCTTGTTCTTTTTGAGATAAAGAAAGTGTCATCTTTTCTACTTTACCATGAAGCTCTTGCAGGTGCCCCTCTTGCTGTTCCTTGTACTGCTGCAAGAGTCTTAACTGATCCCTTTGAGCATGGCACTCACTCTCCCTGTCCTTAAGAGCTGCCCTCAGGTGTTCAAGGCTTGTTTCCAGAGACTTCACTTCTTCTCTCTCCTTTTCCAGTTCTTGGATCTGCTGAGTCAGAGTCCTAAGCACTGTATGGACATTTTTTTTATCAGTGTAAGAATGTACATTCCAGCAGCTGAACCCTTTTGCATCCTTTGACAGTGGTGTTGGCAGTAGCAACAGTCGCCAGACTTCTCTTCCATGTACTTTTATGGGTCTGGTACACCCTGGTCTCCCTGAGGATGTGAATCTTCATGGGCGTTTGGGGCAAAATGGGTGTAAGATTTATGGGAGTAAAGTACGTCATGCTTAGCTCTGGTAAATGGTCCAAGGATACTGCTGGAGCCATCGGGTTAATCTCTGAGGGCTGTTTTCACTGGGAAGCCTCAGCGTCTGAAGTTCTGTTGCTGCAGCTGACTAACTGAACCCCATTCCCTTGTGACTGTTGTGTCTGCCGGCACTGTGGACCTGCTCGAGCAGTTCGGCAGGGAATTGAAGGTGCTCTGCTCAAAGCATCATCCTCAGCTGGCTGGCTGGGCACACCTCTGGGTCTGGGAAACAGCACAACTGGGACTTCATCTCCTGCTTCCTGGGAGATGCTCTTAGCAGCAGATGGCCACTTCTCCCACTCATAACTCTGGGCTACCTACCAAAGCATGGGAGGGCTTTTCAGGCTTCTAAGCCCAGTTTCACAGAGGTGCCCTTACTTCAGAGAGAAGGTCAGATCTATCCCTTTCTTCAGTGATGGTATTCTCTAGCCTATGCATATTGCTTGCTGTGAAGTCCCTTTGACATTTTACTTTCCGTGTGCACTGCTGGCTTTGCATCCAGCGCTGCGCGTTCCCCTTTTGGAGCTGGCTGTCTGGGTTTCACATCTAGTCTGCTCTCAATGCTTAGCAGATTAGGGTCCTCCTTTTCATCTGGTTTGGCTTTATGTTGACCGGCCTTGGTATTGTAATTCAAATATAGCATGTTCCATAAGCCACAAACCTCCTCAATGAATTGCTTCTGTTATTTGAGTTCACATGCCAAGAGAATATTTTCATATTCCTAGCCTGAGGTTGGGGGTGGCATTCCCGTGGGGAAATGGCCCTTAGCAAAGCACGCATCACTGAGAACAGAGGAAAGCCTCTGCCCTGAGCTATTTCCCCCAAAACAGCAAAGCACCGAGCACTGCTCCCAGAGCTGGCATCTCCCGCTCTCCAGTGCAGGCAGAGGGCAACGTGCCAGAGGTGCTGTGGCTGCACCGCACTGCAAACCTACCAGGGGTGGGAGCAGCGGGGTCTGTCCCATCAAACAGCCCAGCAGGCACCACCCTGTGTTGCCAGGAAATGGTAGAGTTTGAGGATTGTCAGGGCCTCAGCAGCCCTTTAAGGCTCATTACCCCGTGGGCTTTGTTCATCAAATTATGCTCTGCTCATTTGTGAAATGCTCTAAGGTTAGGAAGAATGACAAGTTGCTCCCTTTTCATGTGCTATCTTTGTCAGTTTTTTAAACTAGACCATAACAGAGCAGTTCTTCATTGTCTTGTGTAACCAGTAGCCCTCTTGCTGAGGAAAAAGCAAGTGGAACTAAGGTGTCAGTAGCCCAGATCTCTCTTTTGAAAAATAATTGGGTTATTCAATCCTGTAGGAACTTCTGTCTTTAATATACATGTAATGTCTCAGTGTTGTACATGGGAACGGTATGCCAGACAGAAGCTCAGATTGTTGATAATCTGAGCTCAGTTCAGGGTGACTCTAGGAACCGGTTACTCTCCACAGGGACAAAGTGTTTGTCAGGGCTGGAGGCTTCCCTGGGAGCTGGTACTGCTGTGCCATGGATGGTCCTGGTGGTGTGGGCATGTCTGAGCTCAGCCTTTTGCTTCTTTCAGGTGTCCCTTCTGCAGATGCAGCTGGCACAAGAACGAAAATACAAGCAGGACTATATTGAGTGCTGTGCAAAGACCAGCCAGGAGCTGTCAGACCTTCACCAAGAGCTGTCTTGCTCCTTAGCAGCTGTGGTCAGGGAGCCTGAAGTTGCTGTGCTGGAGGCAGAGACCCGGAAGCTCGATCAGTCTCTGAACCTTAACTTGGCACTAATATCTCTAGACCATCAATTTCCTGAGAGACAGCCACTGCATTCAACAGCCAGATCCACCAGAAGTGATGACCTGAGGTGACAGCACCAGTGAAGAGCAGAAAGCCTCAATAGTAGCCAAGTCAGGACCTGCTGTAGCCTGCAGAAACAGCTGATCATCTAGTTATCCTCTTCTTCCTCAAAGCGTAAAGAGGTTCTAGCAATTCAAAGATGCATGTATGCCTTAAAATACATTTTCAACAATTTCAAGATCTCATTCCCATTCTCAGCAGTACAAGACAGCAGACACTGACTTGCAGCTTTGTCCCGCTCTCTAGGCTCGAACAAACGGAGTTTTGAAAGTTGCAGACTTCACAACAAAAAGCATAAACAGAAAGACGCAACCCCGGGGTTTTTGACTCAGAAAAAGGGTGAAGAGGTACACGGTTTGCTTCTTTTGCCACATGGGAGAGTAGCAGCCTCACTCAGATTCATGGGCAAGACAAATCATCTCTCTGCAGCTTATCAAAAGCCAAAAGAGAGGCCACCACAGACAGGTGGATTGAAGTCATCTGTAGAAGCAGAGGACAACTGAGAGAATTGCAGAACAGCTCTGCCAGCCATCAACACATTTCCAAAAGGCAGTAAAGAAAAGCTTCTGACCTCCAGCACTACCAGGTCTCTCCTTGACAAAACCACCACAGAACCCAGCAGACAGAGCTTCACGGAGCCCAGCACCCAAAAGCCCACCCGGAAAGCACCAGGTTTTTGGTCTCACCTGACTGAGCTGCTCTTGGGTTTCTGCCTTCTCCTCTGCCAGCATCCTCAGCTCTACCTGCAGCCCCTCCCGTTGCTCCTCCATTTTCTTCAGCAGCTGCTCCAGGTGGGCTTTCTCTTCACTGAGCTCTTCATTCGTTCTTTCACACGAGTTCAGCTTCTCCCGGTCAGAGATCTTTGCTCTCTCCAGCTCCTCCACTCTACCTGACAGAACTTCATTCTCTTGCTCCAGCTACAGTCACAGAAGCACAAAGAAAATACAGTAAGATTTACCATGTAGAAGGTTTGGCTTAGTCAGAAAAAGGAACATTTCCATATTCAGGCAGTTTTACGTCTGAAGGCAAGAAGTCTGAAAAGAAGCAGCAGCTGCAGACCAACACTTGGTGAGATCTTTTGCAACTGCTCACCTGCAACACAAGTTTGTTCAGCTGCACTTTGTCCAGTGCAAGAGCTTCATTGATACTGCTCATCTTCGCTGCTGCTATGTGTAGATCAGCTACTTCAGCACTCAGCTTATTCTGAGCCCCTCTCAACTCTGCTACTGACTGCTCTGCCTGAAGAGACAAAAGAGAACAATTTCTGTGACCTGACATGAGGAATGAATAGCAACGCATGGTAAAACATCTAATAATGGTGAAAACCAAGATAAAATTTGAACTGTCTATGCTGCAGAAATACCTTTATTTATAAAATGCTCAGCCTCCAGCGGTCCATTAAAAAGAACATAACATCTCCTTACTCATGAACCAGCCAAGAGGGAAAGCACAGTAGAAGTTGTATCTTTTCTAGGTACAATAGGGGTTAAAATTCATCAGTTCTAGAGTCTTCTAGTTCAGTATACTAGAAATGTGACTATGGATGGATGGATAAGAATTGACAACAGAGCCTGACTTTTCAGTGATCTAAAGACAGAAAACACCCTCCCTCAGTTTCCAAATTACATTTCTTTGAAAAACCAAGAGGAATGTAGGGTTGTACTTAATGACTGTGCAGAACAACTTTCATCTAGGTGGGGTACAGATGTATAAATACGGAACCAATATCAAAAGAACATGATACCAAAGGTTACATACAAGCATAGAAAAACATTCATGCAAACAACATTAAGTGAATGAGATAATCTCACTGGGATTTTAATTCCTGCAGGCACAAATAAAACAAAATAAAAAGGACAAAATAACTTTTTTCTTACAAACTTTTTTTTTAAACACAGTTTTAGTTTTTCAGCATTTCCACTGGTTTTTGTTCCTTCAGACACGTGAATATTGCATAAAGACAGGGAGGAGAACTTGTGTTAAAACAAGTTCTGTCCAAGACTTACTTTGCAAATAAAAGATTCTCAGGAGATCATCAGATGTCCTTTGGGCATAAAGGTGACCATGGTGTAAGGATATTTATGAAATAATTCTGGGGTCATGTAAGATTTGGGTAACACATTTTTTTTCTGAGAAAGTCTGTGATCCAGGGGTTTGATTTTTTTTTATGAAAAACCCTCAGGACATTTAGAATGCCAAACACAAGTGAAATGTGATTTGAATCTATTCCAGCAGATATTACCCTAGGATCGGTTAATGGACTTGCATCTCTTAAGAGCCTGAGATTCATAGGCCACCTACATCAAAACTGTGATTCCCACTGGTCAATATACACCATATATATGTGTATATACATACACATACATGTACCATATTGTCAATAATAACTCAGAATGTTGAAATGGGGTTGTAACTAATAAAAGCTGATATTCAGTAACTCTTAAGAAGGACCTGCATGAGATGTATGCACTCACACAGTATTTAAAAATGAAAAAAAAAAAAAAGGAGAGCAATTACTGATAAGCTGATTTTGCTGGCTACTTATTAACATTCTCCTGATTAGGAAAGTAACTGAGTTTAGCTAATGTTAGCAAACTTGTATGTAATTTGTATCTACAGGACCTCTGATCTCTGTCTAATGGAAGGATTTCTGCCAAGCCAAAGACAAAGAATCAAAGCTTATGGATGTGAGAAATGGGATGAGCTCCTCTGGGCAAGGCCACTCCCTGCCTTTTACCTGTATTCCTCTCACATTCAGCAGGTGCTGTCAAACCTCCCCTTATGATGAATAGTAGAATCTACAAAGTATATCAGGCAGATGATCTCTGGAGACAAAATATGAGTATGTGAGAACAAAAACATAGAAAAGGAGAACTGTGTATGGAAAAGGAAATCCAAACAAGAAATAAATAATCCCTGAAAAATAATAAGACTTTTTCTGGGACATATCTGTCCTAGGACAGGTACTCAACCAAAATAAAAGGATGTAAAGATTGAGCTATACAGAACTAAAGATAACATAACTAAGCAAATGAAACTGCACCTTATGCAGTGCTGGTTCTGTTTTGCGTGTGTGTTAGTCCTGTGTTGTCTCCTTACTCTACTTTCTGAAAAAAACAGTTTCAACTTGTTTCTACCCAGGAGAGAAGTTAAGAGTTTTGAAGATGTTAACACCAAGCACATGACCAGAAAGTTGAGAAGCTCAGATTGGGATTACATTGACAGTCAGTTTTACAAAGTGCTTCTGAATGGGACCCTTCACAAAGAAGCCTGTGCAGATTCCCTAGCTGGAGATCAATTAAACAACAGTGACCCTCAGGAGCAGGAGAGAGAAACTGAAAAGCTGGTGTGCTAGCTTCAGTATTTGACTAGCGCCAAAAAATAATAATATGGACTCATGTCTTACCACCAGGTGTACAAATGTCATACATGTCATACAGCTACTCTGACATGAGGCAAGGAGAGCGGTGCAATGGAACAAACGTTCTGTAGTACTGACATTCTTGTTCACCTCCTTATCCTCTACTGATTCAAATCAGTAGGGAATAGAAGGCAGGAACAAAAATACTGTCAGTCATCACAGTTTTGTGCCAAATAGGCCTACTAAAATGACTATTTTTGTTGGATTGTTAATGTGGTTTATGATTGTAACAGTTTGGAATATTTAGACTTCTCTTAGACATTCAACTTCATCCTGTATGACATTGTTAAGTGTGTCAATAGGACTGAGCATTAATGCAGACCTTGAGGGTGCACTGGGTTTGTGTGTGTGGTGAGGTTTTGGTAGCAAGGGAGGGGGCTACAGCAGTGGCCTCTCTGAGAAGCTTCTCAAAAGCTCCCCTGGCTGCAAGGCAGATCCGCTTCTGGCCAAGGCTGAGCCAGTTAGCAAAGGTGGTGGGAACTCTGTGATAATGTATTTAAAAAGGGGAACCTGGGAGGGGTTTGGAACTTGTGAGGAGGAGTTAGGTGAAGGACGCCTCTGTGAAGTGAGGTCAGTGGAAGGAAGGAGGAGCAGAGGAGGTGTGCCTGAGCAGACACACCCCCTGTACCCTGTGGTGAGAGGGCAGGGCTGTCCCCCCAACCGAGGGGCGTCACCAGTGAGCAGATCCTGACCTGCAGCCGTGGAGGCCCCCACACAGGAGCAGGGGGCTGTGCCCGGAGAACACCGGGACTCCAGGGGAGAAGAAGCCCCCGCTGTTGTAGTTTGGTGCTGGCAGGGCTGCAACACTTGGGGGTGACCCACTCTGGAGCAGCATGGCAACAGCTGTGGCCCATGGGAAGGACTCGTGGAAAAAATCCATGGAGGACTATCTCCTGTGAGAGGGGAACCACCCTGGCATAGGGGAGAATGGGAAGAGTCTCCCCCCTCTCCTTTCCCTTGGAGTAAGGAGCAGAGAACTGACTGCACCCCCATCCCCTGCTCCTGCGGGGCTGAAGGGCAGGGCTGGGGTTATCGTGAGCAAAGCTGAGCCTGGCGAGAAGGGAGGGGTGTGGGAAGGTGTTTTTAAGATGTAATAATGCTTCTCACTGTCCCACTCTGTTTTGTTAGTGTTTGAATTAAAGGGATGTTCTTTTATTTTCTTCCCCCAATAAATCTGTTTTCTGCCCATGTCTATAATGGGTGACATCCCTCTCTGTCCTTATCTCCAGTCCTGGGCCTTTTGCTTTATTTTTTCCTTCCCAGCGCTGGGGAGAAGGGGTGGGTCAGTGGCTCCATGGTGCTCAGTTGCCTTCTGGGCTCAAACCACGACAAAGGGATCAAAAATTACACACACATAACTTATGTGAATCATGATCCAAACAAGATATTTCCAGGGGAGCTCACAGTGTTTTGACCAATACTGGTCAAGATCTATACCTGTAATTAAAGATTAAAAAAACCTTCTTTCTGTAAACTAAAAAAATGTTCAAACCAAAACAAAGAATTATGAAGAAAGGTTATACTGAGGCAGAAAAGAGTCTCACCTTAATGTACAAAAAGACCAGTCTCTGAGCTGCCCACTTCCCTTGGGGGTCAGGGAAAACTCCTTGATTGTTGGTTGCTGCCATGAAAACATTGCCCAAGAAAAGACTGGGGAAAAAAAGGGGGAAAATGAAATGTTACAAATAGCTAAGAAAGCAACTGAGAACAAAAAGAAGAAAAACATTATGCCACTGTCTATGTCATGCTTAGCCTGGATCTCAACCCTGGGTGCAGACTTGTACCTCCAGACAGAACTAGGGGAGAAATCAGCAGTGGAGTTCAGGGGTTGAATGCCTTCCACAAAGGACCACCTGGGTAAGCTGGGGCTCTTCAGCAGGGCAGAGACGTGGCCTGTGGGCTGCACAGGAAAGGTCTGTGACATCCTGATAGGCAGGGAGAGAGCAGGCAGCAGCTGTTCACTCTTCTGCAGCAGAGGAACAAGAGCCTCTGGATACAGCTAGTGGGAGCAAGAAAATGGGGGTGGGGGGGTGTTCTTACAGCAGAGCAGGGCTGCTGAACGCCTCGCAACAGGGTGTTGTGAATGCAAAATGTTCACGTGGGTTCATGGTGAGATGGGAAAAGTACCTGAAAGAGAACCACCAAGGGCTTCCAATAGACCCTAACAGACTCAGGAGATCCCGAGAGCTGAAAACAGTTGCACATGAAGAAAAGTATTAGGGGCCTTTTTTTCCTCATTATGTAATGTGACAGAATTCCCAGAAAGCGGAAAGTCTGTCTGCCCATCATCCCTACTTTTAACTGTCCTTAAAACACCAGTATTCCTAACTCTGCTTCCAAAAGGTCTGCAGTAACTACATAGTCCTTTCTAGTTTTCAACTGTGTTTTCTCCAGTGTAAACCCTTCATTTTTCAGTTCAGTTGTGCAAGACTTCCACAGCACATGCAATTGGAGACCTACCTCACCTCACTCCCTCTACACACACAGAGTACTTGCTCTCAGGACAGCCAGCCTGTGTTCATGCCTATTGCAGAGAACAGATGCAATGCAGAGATGCTTGTTAACTCGGATACATGCTGTGAAGTTTGAAATCCTGGCTGTAGTAAGGTTGCTGTTGTCATGATAGTTTAAGCACATAAAGCAAGTTCTGTGGGAAGAAGTGAAATATTTCATTAGAACAACTAATATTGTGGGGAAAAACAGGCAAGGTTTTTGCACAAAAGTGCTGCTTCATTTCATCTTTAGAAACTGTGCTCAAAAGCTTGATAGTTTTTCTCCAGATACACCAGCTACTCCCACAAAGCACATTCGAATTCTCCCCCTGACCTTTGCCTCCGTGGTACGGGATAGACTGGAATGAGTGATAGGAAGTGGTGACAAAAACCAGGCTGAAACTAAAGCTCTTTCTGAAACCCTTTCTACAAACTTCACACTTCAAAAAACTAAGGGAACTGCAAACATTCCATTAAACCACAAATCTTTTTAATCAAGTTCCTGTTAAAGATACAGGGCATAAACTACCACTATTAACTCTGACCACTGTGCATTTATATATTTGCTAGAGGAAGTCTCTTATAACTTACATGTTACTCTAAAAGTTCTGAATTGCTTTAAAATTCTCCTGAGATACCCTCCAAAATACCCCTTCCAGAGATACTGATATTCAGGTCCTGGACCGAACACCTTACTTGAGGATGTTTTACAGCAGAGCAGCAAAGTTTTATGGAACAAATGAGACTGTTTCTGGGCGTTCTCTCATTCTCCTCCAAGTTCTTCCACATCCATGTGGCAGCACCTCCAGAAAACACAGTCCATCCAGGTTTTCCCATTAGCTAGGGAGAACTTCCGTGGTGCAGAGCACCCTCCCTGCTTTCCTGGGGGTCTGTGTGAGAGCCAGTATGTGAGAAACTACATGGGGTGCCCTGAGCCCCCAGGGCTCTGTGGGCACAGTACTGTCCTCTTGTTGGGGTGGAAATCCATGACCTGATTTCCACAGAGAGTGGGATCCCACTCGGAGATGTACATCAAAAAGGTGGGGTGCTGTTTTAAGGCGGCTGAGAAGTTTAACAGCTGCTGCTCTGTTCTGGAGAGCCTGCTGAACAGGCATGCGTGGGGAATTGCTTATTTTTGACTCAGCTTCTTGTGCAGGAATCCAGTGACTGTCTCTGGTTTCTTCCTGATGTCTTTCCTTGGACCTGCAGATTGACTGAACAGGTCCTGAATGCAGAAGCTTTCCTGTTGTGGATGGCAGAAAGCAGGTTATATCCCTATCCAGCACCTTTCAGGAGTCTCTGTTTCTGCTCCAGACCTCTCCTGCGGTCAGAATATGATGGAGGGCCTGAAGTCTGTGAGGAACTCAGTTCACAGCCCATCGTCCCTGCATTCAATGTGTAGGGGCCTTTGGTTGCACTTGGATCTGTCATCTCCTTGGGGAGGAACATGTTGAACTTTCTAACTCAGGGCATGACATGTCTTTCCTTTGTGCTTCAGGTATTGCTAAGATTGCTGTGGCTGCTTAAAGTTGGTAACAGCTCTTGCTGAGCACGGTGTCTCGTGTCATATTCCCTCTCATACAGCCTGCTAGTTTTAGCAGTCCTGACAGCCCCATGCCAACAAGTGCAATTATTGTCCCCCCCTCTTTTGAAAGCAGAAAACATACCAGGACACACAAGTAGACAAATGTCCCACTGAGCAGCTGCTTTGTCAGTGGAGATGAAGATAGTCTGGATCAAGTATAAGAACATGTTCAGCAGTTTCTGGGGTTTTTCTGCTCCCCACTGCTGGAAAGACCAAGCAGACAGTTTGGTACAGCTGTCAGGGTCTCTCCTAGTTGTTGGAAATGCCTTGGATCTTACTGAGCCCAGGGATGATGTTCCAAATTCTGTTCCACAGACAATGATATTTTAACCATTCACAGACCCTTGTTTTCTCTGACCAGGCTTGTTGTACTGACTTAGAAGCTGAGGCATGCTAACAATATTCCCAGTAAGGACACAGACTAAACCCTTGGCTTTCCATTGCAACTATTTTTGACATGTACACTAGCTGATGGAGACAAAGGGCTGCAAGAAGTCTAGAAGTCCTTCAAAAGGTCCTGTGAAGATCTTCACCTTGTCAAAACCCATCAACCTACCCAGCAGCAGTTTTTAGAGAGGACTCTTCTGGGCATTCTTTTTTAAAAATGCTGCCTATATTTAGGATTTCATTCCTACCTGCTGTAATGGCTGACTCCGGATCAGTTACCTGGATATAGTATATGGGGCTGGTCTATTTCTGAAGCATCAGTCCTTGTCCAAAGGCAGCCACTAGAGTTTACAGAGGCTCTTCCAGACTCCTTCTATCTGACAGTGGGTCTAAGCTGCAGAGACTCTTGAAAAAGAGAAGGAAAAGGCAGTTTGTAGAAAAATCCATCAATGGCAGGATTTGCCATGATTTCTGGTCAGTGCTGTTATCACCACAGCTGACATTGTTAACAAGAGCCTCCCAAGAGCTCAGAGCTCTGTTTGGAGAAAGTCTTTTCTTTCAGATGGTCCCATCTTCACTGTCATATGAACATCAGTCAGGTGCCTGCTAGGGACAGGGTTCTGGCACAGAAGTGAAACCTTTGCTGTTTGGTTTTGAGGATCCTGAGGTCGCCTGAAGACCTTAAGCAGTGTCGTGCTGTCCTCATGGTGTCCTTCTTTTGAAGATCCACTTGGTAGGGCACAAGTATGTCTTTTCAGACCAGGAGTGCACAAAGTACAGACCCAGGGGCAATGTCCAAGCACCCCCCTCGTTACCAGGTGCGCTGGTCCCCCTCTACCTGAGTTGTTCTGTAATGTGTTCAAAGGCTGGAGAGCAGCAGGGAGCATCTGTTCATCCCCCCCTTCCCCCTCATTTTCAACCAAAATCCCTTTCAACTTTGAGAGGATTCATTTTGTGGGGAGGCACAGACTGCAGTCAATATGCATTCAAACACCTTTTAATGCCATTCAGAGATTCAAGCTGTTGTTAGTAGTACCAGGTAACTCTACACAGCACATTCACTTACTCATTCACACACTTGTAGTTGCCCAGTTAGGGCAGCAACAGGGAGGCCAGTGCCCATTGCACACTCAAACACAGACAGTGATGTGCCAGTGGCACGGGTTTAGAAAGTCTTTTTTTCACCTGCTTTGTGCAGGTATCTACCTAGCTACAACATATACATCAACATATGCGTGTAGATGAGTCTCTGCTTTTGTGGATGTTTCTGCTGTTTTCTGCTAAGTACTTGCAGTTACAAGCTGCTATTTTCTGGTCACTGTTCTTTGTCCACAGCTACAGGTACACTCAGAAAAGTCCTTCACACACGCTTACAAGGAAGGGGCCTTGCAGGCTGTGGGGAGCACAGTTTCCCACCCATCCCCGCATGGCATATGTCCCCCTGGCACAGCACACACACTGCAGAGCAGCTTCGGCTAACTGTTGCCACATCAGTTGCTTTTTCCAGGAGCTCCTCCACTTGCCCTAGCCCATGTAAGAAAGGGAAGAAGCGTGTTAAAGTTCCTCAGTTCCTAGTCCAGTCTGCTCAAGAGTCACACCTGCTTTCGTTTGGTCATCAGGCCTGGGCACATGAAGAAGCGCTGGCTTGGAGGAGCAGCCAAGGTGTGGGATGGGCAGGGGTGCAGGGAGAGGCTCACAGAGTGAAGGGGAAGGAGTGGAGAGATTGCAGCACATGTCTCTGCACATGTGGGGGCTGCCCTGTGTGCATGTTTGTGGTTATTAGTGCACGACGGAAGAGGTTCCTGGGGGAACATAGGGAGAAGGGATTTGTTACCATGTATGACCACATGTCTACGTGGGAAGGTGTTGCTGTGCCAGGAGAATCACCTGCTCTTGTTCTCATCTGCTGTGCCAGGAGGATCCTCTGTGTCTGTTACTGTGCAGGGTGTCTTTCCATGAAGGAGCCTGTGATGGCTGATCTGCTCTCATGTGTGGGTGAGGGACTGCACAGGAGGGCAGATTGCTGCACTCACAGAATCATAGAATCATTTGGGTTGGAAAAGACCCTTAAGATCATCGAGTCCAACTGTTAGCCCCACACTGCCAAGTCCAGAGTCCATCATTACTTGAGTAGTTTTACTACTCAGCTGTCAGCTCCACAGTCAGGAAGAACCCACTGTCCGCTCCCCACGGGAGTTCACAGCCGCCATCTCTAGGATGCCTGCACTCACCTTCCCATGCTTGTTCTTCTTCAACACCCAGTGGAGCTCTTTGCTCCATGTCATGACCCTAATATCAGCGCTACTGCTCAGCTCTCTACTGCACAGAAAACACAGGCACCCGCTGCCCATTCCAATTCAAGAGTTTCAAGTGGAACTCCTTTAGCCTGCTCATGCTTGCCTTCCCACGCTCATCTTTTCTCTCAACACCCACCTCTCTGCCCTCTGGCACTGCTGCCCGCTGCACACAAAGCCTGGGCACACACCCCCTGCCCACACAAGCTCACAGCCACGCTGCGCTTCCCACTGCCCTTCTCACACACCTGCTTCTGCTCCACCCACTGTACAACACAGACCTACTGACTGAGGAGGGGTGGAGGTGAAGCAATGGTGCAGGTCTGCAAAGCACACCGGCGCTTGCTTTCAGCTGAAGTTTCAAGCCTTTGAAAACTTGAGTTTCAGAAGAGGTAAGATCTAGCTTCTTGACCCATCAGCCTTTCATGCACTGATGAATCCCTGCCTGTATATACATTCTGTAAAACCTGGGCACTACCTTTCTCTCCTCCTTCTCCAGAAAAATACTTCTACTTAATAAAGCAGGGGCTCCTACATGCAGTGTGCTCCCTTTCCCTCCGCAGCCCAGCTGGCTGCAGTAGCAGCAGCTCCCTGACTTCCCAAAGCAGATCTCAGTGTCATATTCGTTCTTCCCCACCACATCCAAACATCAAGCACCCCAGCTGGAGTGCTGTACACACCCTTGCACAGACACAACCTTGTTCTCCTCTGGCTGTGCTTCCCTGTTCTGGACCAGAACTGCAGACTGCAAGCAAACCAGCAAAGCCCTACGGTTTTGCTGCTTGGCAGCACCTGTTTGTGGTGGCCTTGCAGGCCCTGGCAGGCTTACAAAAGAGCCTGCACACAGGTCAGAAGGGAGATTGCCACTGCTTCTGGGCTTAAGCAAAGGGTCACCTGCAAGTTGTGTTATTAATGGAAAAGAAATCTCACCTGGAAAATCCCTATCTTTAAAAGCATTTAATTTTCAACACATTTAAACAGCAAACAGATCTTTCTCCACCCATTAATAGAGAACAAGGGGGTTCTCACGTGAGCTGAGGGAGGAAAACCTCTGTTCATCAGAGAGGTGTTCCCCGTGCAGAATGACTGTTTTCTGTCCTGTCCTGGTTCAGCCAGGATAGAGTAAAGTTGTCCCCAGCAGAGAGAGAGGGGGAAAGGATCTCCAGCCAGGTTATTC